CCGCCGACCAACAGCCGCGCCTCCTCTCCCCCCCGACCCCCAAAAAATCAACCCCAGGGGTATGGCACTGACGCCTACCTGCACCTCAACCGGTTGGGCAACGTGCAGGAGCCGCTGCCCTGAGGCGCCGGCCCACGAGCGCCCCGCCCTTTGGGCCGGGCCGCGGCCCCACGGCGGGCTCATGCGTGCATGCACGCGCCACGCCGGCGGAGCGGCGCGGCTGCTTCCAGCGCCGCGCCGCCTCGGCTGCAGGGCGACCGCCTGGCGCCGGCCGAGCGCTGGCGTCACGTCCGCTGCTGCGGCAGATTGGCGGCGGCCGCGGCGCCGCCTTCGGTGGCATGCACGCGTTTGCGTCTTCGCACCCGCCTGGCATCCTCAACGGGCGCTTCGGCGTGCTGCGCCGCCCGCCGAATTCTGTCGAAGCGCTTGGGGCGGCTGGCCCGTTCGCGCAGGGCCGCGGCCGGTTTCGGGCTGGGCGGCCGCCGCCGCCGCCGCCCCGCGCCGCGCTGCCGGGCGCTGCGTCCAGGGCGCCCCTCACATTCATTGCTCTGTGCGGCGGCTGGGCAAGGGGGCGCCACTCAAGGCGCCTCCTGCCCGGGCTCAATCCGGCCCAAACCCTTGTAGTTGTACTGTACCCCTGGATTCAAGCCACACGGCCATTACGTAATCACGCCCGATGCGAGACGCGCAGATCTGATCTGACATTTTATACAATGCCGTGTCCTGAAACGTGAGATGTGTCCCGGCGGACGCGCCAGCTGGCGCACGCGGTTTCGCGCGGCCGCGTGGTGGGGCGCGCATGCGCGTGTGCATGTATGCAGAGCGCACGCCGTCTTAGTTGCGTGCAGAGGCGGCGCCGCCATAGCGAGGCTGCGCGAGGGGAAGGGGAGATTACCAGGCACCGCCCTGGAGGCAACGTGATTGCCCGCCGACCGATGGCGTGCCGCAAGACGGCGCCGCGCGCCGCCGCCGGTGGCGGTCCCAGCAAGCCGATCCGCGGACCGCGGCACGCGCGCTTGGGCTCGCTTATGTGGGCTCGCCTCATTGACGGGCCGCCTGTACCAGTGCCGCCCGGCGGCGGCGCCCCTGCCCTGCGTTGATGCGGCTTCTCCCCCTCTTGGTTTGCGCCCCTGCCTTGCTGCCGTCGGCGCCCGTCCGTGCCGCTGAGCTGGCGCAGCCTCGCAGCGCGGGGGCCTGTCGGGGCGTCGGACCTGCAATGCATCCTTGCAGGGGCGAGACAGAGCAAAAAGTCGTCTGCGTGGCCCACGCGCTTCGTGCAGGCTGGGGCCCTGTCATCCCATAAGCAAGCGGCAGTGGACATTCGCAAGGGCGCGGTGGCGTCGCCCCGCCGCCAAAGCACCCCCGCAACGCGCGCCCCGCGCGCAGGGCCGGGGCGCGCGGAGCCCTGTCACCAACGCACCGCGCGCGCAGCGCTGCGGCGTCCCAGCCCTGCGCGCCCTGCCGCCCGTTGACCGCTGCGGCAGGGCGAGCTTCCCATTGAGCCTGTAACAGTGCTGCCCTTTTGGACTGTCGCACAGGGAAGAATTGCCGTCAAAAGCTGGTTGTGAATTTGGCAGATACAGGTGTCATGTCACCTCATTACCAGCTGACAATGGCTGCGGGGTTTCTCCCCAAGTTCAAAAGAGAACGTTGGTGATCGCACAAGACGACATCACACGAGCTCGGCTGTCATCATGCACCGGTAATAATGCAATGTTGGCCCAGCTGTCACAGGGTCACAGTGGCAGTGTGCACGAACAAGCACGCCGTCGCGTGCATGCTACCAGAAGCATCAGGCGTTTTTGCGCGTTCATGTATCAAGGCTTGAAAATCTATAGCTTGAAGTGTGGTGGTTTGTCAAGATCTCGACAGCTCAACCACCATCCGTGAGCTCAACACCATCCGTGGACATCAAACCGTTCTTTGTCATGGTGCGCATCACGAACATTGTCAATCAAATTAACTGTTTATCTACACTCATTGTTCGGCCATTCCGTCCAACGGTTTGCATCACCTGCACACGATCTGAGTGCGCGGTGGTTGAAACTTTCAACGCGGCCAGCCCGCAGCCTGATTGTGCCCGACTGCTGGCAACAATCAATCTGATCAAATGTGCAGGCTAGTGATCGCCGTGATGCTGGCGGCCTGCCTGGGCGCCGCCGTGGGGGCGGGCCCCGAACCGCAGACGCACGCGATCAGCAGCGCTCAGGAGCAGGAAGAGCAGCAAGAGCCGCAGGAGCAGGGCCTGCACCACGCATACCTGCAGCAGCATGCGCACACCGACAGCGAGCTGTGGCGCTGGCTGACGGACAACGGCGCGGCGCTGAACTTCTTGCCGGCGGTTTCCGAGTACGGCGTGCGCGGAGGGGTCGCTGTCGCAGACATCCCTGCTGGCGGCCTGGTGAGCACCGCCCTTCTTGCACAGCCATCAGCATGCTGAGTTGGATGAGGAATTTCAGGAATCGTCCATTCAATGCGGTCAATGCTGCCTGGCTGCTGTTGGTGCCGCTGCTATTGGAGCCAAGCACCACGGGCGGAACCGGTGACGCTCGCCTGGTTTGGTGCCCTCCCCCATGATCTCGTCATACCATCATTGCAGGTGGCCAGCATCCCCATGCGCCTGGCCATGTACTTCCCAGCCAAGTACGGCACTGTTGCGGTGAGCACGCATTGTTGTGTGCATGCAAACTCTGATCGCTCTGCCGGCTGGTCCAGGGAGGCGCGGCGGCCAGGCCTGTCTGCAGCATAAACCCACAATGTTGCCTGGCAGCTGTGTTTCGTACTGATCTGCAATTGACAGAATACGCTTCTTTGTGGCGACATCCCCGAAGTGTAGTACCTCTTGCAGTATTCGCTTTTACACACGTGCTCCTACGTGCACGCACGCATACACACACGCACACACACACACACACACACACACACACACACACACACACATGTTGTGCAGGAGCTGGCCGCGCAGCTGTCGCTCGAGGCGCGGAAGCCCGACAGCCGCTACCGCCCCTACCTTGAATCTCTGGCGTCTCTGACCCACTCCCCCATCCTGAGCTGGGAGAGCTTCCCGCCCTCGTACCTCCACCTCCTGCAAGACGCGGCGCCGCTGGTGGGTCCGCTTCCCGTTAGTCTCGCGCTCAATCCTAAACCTCATTGAGGGCTGGGGCGACGCCTGCGCCGCGCTGTTGGAGAGCCCCCAGCCGAGCGTCGCCGGACGCATTTGCTCTCGGTGGCTTCCGGATGGGCGCTTGGGGATATCCCAGCTTGCCAGGCAGCTTCCCATTCTTGCAACTGAACGTCCGGTCTTCAGCCGCCCAATATGCGGTTGCAAGGGGGCTGCAACGGCTCCGGGCTCCAAGCCGCCGGCAGCTGCCAGTAGACAGAGGCTGTTGTGGTGACCTTTGACATGTACATACCCTAGTGAATCTGATTTGCAACTCACGATCAATGCTCACATGCGCAACAACCCAGGAACACACGCTTACGACCCCCCCTCAAACCCACCCCATCGTCACCAAAAAGACTATCTCATCATGCGTTGCCGCTGTTTTGTTTCCCCATTCATCCTCTGCGACGCCAAGCCATCGCCTTTGATATCCCTTGATATCACACCGCGCTCGCAGGCTGACGTCATCGTCGCGCGCCAGGCCGCCCTGGAGCGCTACTGGTCGCGCGAGGGCATGAACCTCACGCGGGCGGGTGTCTCGCTGGAGGACCTTCGCGCGGCCCTGGTGCTGGTGAGCGCTGTTGTGCGGTGCTTGAGCAGGAGGCGCCTGCTGTGGGGGCGCGCGTTGCGATTGCGGAGCTTTGGGGGCGGTCTGCGGGTATAGTGTTTGGGTTCTAGGATGCTTTCTTCAGTGGGGCGGGCACAGATGAACCCTGGACACCAGGCAGGGTTGTCCCGCGGTGGGTTGTGAACGGACCAGAGCGGACTTGCGTACTGAGCGATGCGCACATGCTCACGGCAGACCGTGCCATGGGTGTGCCGCTAACTGATGTCAACCCTTCAAAGTCTCAGCAAGCCCAATTGACCAGTCCACCGCGGCACGTGACGCGATCGACTAGCACGTTGGGTGCTCACATCTTTGCCATCCCCTTGGTGTGCTATCATCCTCTGGACCATGCAATCCATCCGTCCCGCTCACCCACCCCCGCCCTGCCAGATCACCACCCGCTCGTTTGACGGCGGCGCGGACGGCCCCAACGCCGGCCAGAGCAGCCTCATCCCCGGCATCGACTTCCTCAACCAGTGAGCAACAGTCTGATCTGATCTGATCTTGGCTGATGGCGAGCCGCATGGTTCCAGCTCATTCAGTTGAACAGCCCAGTGGCTTGGCAGGTACATGTAAAGAGGAGCACTGATGTGGTGCAGTGTCCACTCAGCCGCCCTGATTACCGTATGCGCTATTTTATGCTGCCCAGTACACGCCCGCCATTGAGCCACGTCCTGGCC